TTCTCCGTGGCTCTGTCATGTATCTTTTTTTTATGAATGGATTGCGTGAATGATGAGCTGGCTTAGCTTTATGGCAGGACGTTTGATTTGATGCCCGACACTACCGTCTCTACCGTCTCTACTGTCTCTACTGACTCTCCTGACGGCTCTCACTGTCCGACACAGAGCTAGACAACTGGAGGGCAGGTGCACACGGACTCCGTGCGGGTGTCCCAGTTGGCACAACTATTGCCCGTGGCACTTAAAGTAATTAACTGCAAGATGCTGAACGACGCTCGTCAGCATCTCATCCGTGTCCTCACTGGCAGCCCGTCCCGTCCTCCGCGCGGCTATTCATATTCATCCCCGGACCAAATGCACGGCACGGACACGAAAACGTGCCTACATCGTTTTCACATCAAGACGTATAACATTTGTCATAAACGCGCAACTTTCTCCCAACCGAAAGCTAATTTAATTGTATCATTTATTAGATGAGCCAAGGATGGAGTGGATGTGCATATCTCTCTCCAGTGCACTCGATATTGATTAAATATTTTTCCATATCTCTGTAGTACACCCCCAAGGATGCCTAATCGATTTTTCATCCTTGCCATCAAATACAACCCGTTTAACGGATGCGCTGCCCATAATCGCCTGCAACCGCAGACTCTGCCAGCGGCACGTTGATTGATGATGATGATTCAAGTTCGTAGATAAACCGCTATCGTTATGATTATGGGCACTGACGATACTATAAATATTCTGCGTCTTGGAGCAGCAAGCAAAAACTTGCTCGAGCTACCGACGGAGATTCTCTAGATTCTGGAAAGGTACTCTCTGTTTTCTATGACGAATTCTGAATGAATTCGGAATATATTTATATTTAGGGTCTCATTTTCACCTTACACCTTCTACGATCAAAGTATTTTTTTATAATTCAAGGAACTAAGTGCCACATCTCAAGATTTTCCTTCGAAGAAGCTTCTATCCTTTTGAGAAACTATGCCACCAATCCATTGGATACCCGGCTACAGTCCTACTCCAGCATATGTTCTGGCCAGCCGCCAATGAATCATCCTAACTTAAAACATTATGTTTGCATCTTGTTAATCTAAATGGATCAGAGATTTATAAAGTATTTATTAACCATCTATTGGGTACAGTAAACGCTGAGGCGCTCTTTCTATTAAAGGGCGCTCTGCAGCCGCCAGTATAAATACATTTTATAAAGTTATAAAGTAAACCTAATTGTTTTTTTGGGTTTATTGACAAAAAAGCTTGGCAGTTCAAACATTATACATAAGTATATATAATCATGTTTAATCGTTTGACCATTTGTTGCGAATATTATTATGAGGTCTTAGGTCTTTACAAAGAAGAAACATGGAATAAAATTTTGTATTGGCACCGCAATAACATTTTAGTTTTCAGCAGATCTCTGAACTTTTCTATGATTGAGCAATTTTTAAAAGCTTAAATTGTTGTTAATTTTTTTGAATTATAAAATAATTATAATTAAATAATAAAATAACAGAAAGATTAAATTAATTCTGCTGCATGGCAGTCGTTGCTTGCGTTTAAAAGTTCCATTTCATTTGAATTCGATATTTTAGAGATATTGTGCCGCGAAACGGAGTGCCATCACCATGGGGAACCGAGGCTGTTAACTAGCGCCATCTACATTTCTACATCATGTATTATTGCATGTAACATTACATGTAACATTTTGTTATGACATACTACATGGTAACTACATGGCACAGTGGCGCTTGTCAATAACAGCATCGATAACATCATCGATAACAGCATCGATATATAAATTTTATAATCAATAACAGCATCGATATCAGTTTTATAACCACCACTAGCGATCAGCTGTCGCGATTTATCGAAGCCCTGCCATCTCAATTGGGTTTGTCGGGCAGATTTTCAAACGTATTCATAATAGTGATAATGGCCTAGAATAAATTGTTTGAGAAAAAACATCGATGATTCACATTCAAACACTTTTGGGATTTTTGGACTTTTTTGGGATTTTTCCTCGCCACAATCCTCACTTACGTTTTCTTACGTCTTATGTTGCTGGCAACATTCAATTTGTATGGACCAGACTCATGTGCCGTGAAATCGAGCAGCACTCTTCCTCAACATGGCGCGGATTGAGCAACATTTTGCATACCCTGGGAAATGGAGGAAATGTTTGTTATCTAATGCACCAAGGCCAAAACTAGTCAGTCTCTGTTTTAAAGGTATTTCAACGATATTTTGAAGGTTTTGGTCTTCTTACAGAAACCAAGAATGGGTATCGAGATCGAGATATATTTACAAGACCCTAATCACATGCATTAAAATGTCAATAACATAAGAAAACATAACAATCTGAGATCATTTCTATATTAATTACGTTTTAAAAAAACTTGGAAAACCAGTTTCTTGATATATATATAAACGAAATAGGGTATACCTGTGTCCAAACTCCGGTTGACGTGACATTTCATACTCACTTACGTTACACTCCATACTCACTTACGTTGCCACTGTTTTTTTGTTGACCTATTTTGCCTAAACCTTGTTTTATACACTATACAATAAAAGAGAGTACTTAAAAGTAGTCAATCAGGTAGACAATTTATTCATTAATGGTCTAAAATTATGTGGGCAGAGCTAATGGTTTTAGTTAGGCAGCATTATTCAACGGAATAAAGAAATTGAACAATTGGAACGATTTTTCTCTTACGTTTTATTACGTTTAATTTGTTTGACCTTTTTCGCTAAAACCTTTTTTTAAGCAAAATCCAAAAAAAGCAAGTTTTAAAAATAGGCCAGTCAAGTAGAAAATCGATTCAACAATCGTATACAATTATGATGGCATGGCTAAATGTTCCATATAGCTGATATTCGAAGGAAGATCAAAATTGAGGGATTCGTCGTATTTGTTGCATCGGTAATGGGCCGGTTGACAACATTTAAATCCTTGTCGCTCACATTCAAAAAAGTTAGATTTGGCGCGCACCAATCGGTATATTTTGTATATTTCGGTGCTGTTCTGAGGGTCATACTGTAGAAACTGGTTTTCGCCGCGCTCCCATGGTATTTTTGTCCATTTTCTTCAATCTATTAATTTAATTTTCAATTTTATATAGAAATCCAATAAAAGCGAGTATTTGGAATAGACCAATCATGTATAGAATTGATTCATCAATCGTACAAAATTGAGTGGGCATGGCTAAATGTTCCATATAGATAGTATTATTCAACGGAACAAAGAATTGGTCGTTTTTTTGAATCGAATTTGATTTCGCCGCAGTTCGCCGCAGTTCGCCGCAGTTCGCTTTAGCAACAATGAGTCTCGTTCCATACACAATGTTGCACATTCCATACACACTGTTGCGGCAACATTTACTTGAAAACCGTTTTTTGGTCAAAATAAAATACTTACAAGCAATTTAAAGGCGCAATCTTGTAGAAAATGCATTTATCTATGGGATAAAGCTAAGTGGGCATCTATAGCTTGAAATATAGGCAATTCCCGATTCGCCGCAGTTTCGCTTTTGCAACAATGAGTCTCATTCCATACACAAACATGTTGCTAATTCCATGCACACATACCCTGGGGCAAATGGATGTTATAGAATTGTGAATATGTTTGTCTTGCAAGGCTCCGTAGGTATCAGGATCGACATAAATATACACAGGATACTTATAATGTACTTGAATATGTCTAAAGAATATCAATTTGAGAAAAGGTCTTAATAAATTTCGTTTGATCTTCATATAAAATTAGCGAAATAGGGTGTACAAAGGGCTATACACGCATCACGTCTTTAAATACCAGCAACATTGCGACTCTTTTTTGGTTGGACTTTTTCGTTTAACCCTGTTTTTACAATAAATACAATAAAAGCAAGGATTAAAAACTATCCAATCTCGTAGAAAATTGATTCATTAATCGTATAAAATTATGTGGGCATGGCTAAATATTCTATCTAGCTAGTAATATTCCTCGGAATATCAAAATCGAGGAATATGTAGAATGGAACTTGAATTCGTCAGTATATTTACGGTATATTTTGAAAATGTGACTGTATAGACAAGGTATATTTAGCGAAAGGGGCGGATTTTACCTGCATGCGTTGCATTTTCTGAGCCGTTTCGCCTGTGGCCCATACCCTATTTTTCCTCCCATCATGTAGTTGTCATGTAATTATTTGAGCAAATGTAAACAGTGTGTAAACACAAACTCAAATTACGGTTCTTTCGCAGTTACCAGCGTTTTTTTGAATTGAGCGGTTGTGTGCGTGTTGAGTGCTTCGTGGTGCTGCTGTTTGCGTGCGTGTGTTTGTGGCCTGAGTGAAAGAGCGATTTGTGTTAAATAAATTGAGTTAATCGGCCCGAAAATAAATGCAAACTGGTTAAATTTGGTTGATTCCCAGTGCTTGATACGTGACATAATAGAGCTGTTCCCCTAATCATTGCCCCCATGGCCCAGGAATGGAAATTCCAATAAGCAAAAACTTGCAGAAGCAGCAGCAGCAGCTGAAGAGATAGATAGCGCAAGAGCGCCAGAGCGTGAGAGAGAGAGATAGCTCAAAGCCCGTTATAATATTTGTTGTTGTTTACGTTTGCTTCGCGAATCGGGAGTGAGTGCAGTGTTATTGTTGTTGTTGATTGGATTTTGTTCTTGCGGTATTTTGTGAATGGCGGCAGCACATCCTGTTTTTTTAATTCATCTCGGAAACCCGCCACGCCCCGCACTTCACAACTCCCCCTGGAGAGGAGATGGTATTTGTGCTGTGTAAGCATCATGCGGAAGCCTGCAGCAGCTGAGCCGTCACTGACACGGGAAGTGTGATGTCACCACTTGTGCCCCCGCGAGAGAACAACAAATTGTACTATTACTTACCGCGCTGCTCATCCACGAAACGAAAGCAAACACTCGCCCAACAACAACAACGAACAGGAGGAGAAGGAGGAGGAGACACCATCCATCCCATCATCAGCATCGTAGGACCGACGGCATGGTGGACTCTGTGAACATGTCTCGATCCAAGTCCCGGTCTGCGTGTTTCCAGCTGCAACTGCTGGCACTGTTGTTGCTCTCGCTCAACATATGTTGGCAGCACTGTGGGGTTGCGGAGGCCACAGCTGACAGCGCCGCCAAGTCAAAAGGTGAGTCCCAGCTCCAATTGGATCTGCAGGCCCCAAAACTCGATTCAAGTTGCAGCCCAGAAGCAGGCAGAGGGCCCAGCAGGGCGGTATAGTGGTTAAAGCTTAGCAAATGAATGTGGTTCTTATTTTTGGTTAAATAGATAACATTTTTGGGCCAAGTGTTAGTCATGTCTTAGTCACTTTGGGGTCGGTATAGAGGAGTAATAAGTGCAGTGGTAGGTTTCGTTTATTCTCTCTGAGAATATAGGTTCATACAAGCTTGAACCACTGTGGCTCCCTCTCTCATTTGTTAAGCTCTTGCCGGTTTGAACAACCTTGAAAAACCAGCTTCTATTCCGACGTCTGCTTGTTCCACAACAAAGCTGTTTTAGGGCCTTTTCCAGCCTGGACACAGACTAGACACCAGAGATAGAGGCACACTCCGTAGCTCCTCCTTCGCCCCTCGAGCACAGCAGTGGGGTCGGGGCACTTGCCACTTGGCTTATCAGTGGGAGTAGTTTTCGCTTTTCCTTTTTGATTAGTATTACGCTGAGTGTGCTGTCTGTGGTCTATTAGCAGCTTGTTTATCTCATTGTTGGGTCTATCAAAATCTCACGTAGTGCGGCGATAGAGAGGCGCCCCTGGGGATCACACTTTCCATGCAAATTCGTTGATTGCCTTCCTCGCACGTACCAGATCTGATGGCCCTTTTTCTTTTCTTTATTTCTCGCTTATTTCTTATGTTTGGGCCAAAGTAAAAATCGATTGTGAATGCAATGGCGTGCTTTACTTTTACTCTCATTGTGGCAGATTTTTTTCGGTTTTTTTTTTTGAGAAACTTTCTTTAATTTTTTGCCACCACACAAAATGCCGCTCTTTTTGTGGGTCAACAGACAGTTCTTTGGTACTGGCAAGCGTTAAATGTTTTTTTATTTTTTATGTCTTTTCATTGTCATCAGTTCTGGCCCCAAAAGGTCAGCGCCTTAAGCGCACACTCGAACCGCCATTCTGGCCCAACTCCGCTTTTGGCCAACTCGTTTCGTTGTCATTGTTTGTTTGATTTGTTGTGTGTGCGATTTCGTTGATGATTATTTTTTTCCATTTTTATTTTCTTAACAATTTTTATATCATTTGCGCAATTATATGGCAACAGCAGCGGCAGCGACAACAGTGGCAACAGGCCGTAATAGCCAAAAAAAAAAACCAAGTTGTTCGAGTGAAGTAACATTCGTGGCTCAAAAGTGGGCGGGAGCTGTGGCACAATTCAAAAAAAAGGAAAGGAAAGATTATTGGCAAAGAACAGCCCCATGGACAAATCAAGAAATTTCAAAATTCTCTGTGGCTTCTTTTTGAAACGACATCAAGATACTCAGGGCTCATAATTATTGTTTTTGTGTCATACGAAATCGTTTCTAGGCCAACTGGAACCAGCAGTAGCCGTTGTTTCCATATTTCCCAAGCATTTCATTGACTTTCTTGGGACATCTACACACTGGCCACGCCTCTTTTCTCGGGCGTTGTCCACTGCTGTATTGCTGTTTACCCAAGTGGCAACACTCCACCATTACCATTATCATTATCACAAGCACAAGGCAAGACAAGAGGATCATTAATATGCGGCAATGCATTTTTGTTGGACATGGACTGGTTGGCTCAGAGCGTGGGAGCCAGAACTAGAATCTATCAGTCTATCGGCCTGAATGACACTTGAACAGTTTTCCCGCTTTTCCAAGCAGCGATCTAAGCCTGAAAACAAGCCTAGGAAACAACTCGAGTGGTCAGCCATCAGTCCGTCATCATGAGCAAAACTTAATTGAAACCGAACTCAATTTACAGATGGATCTCCAGTAAGCTCGTCTTGATTGAGTCAGGTCAAAAGAATTTAAATCGAAAGAGCTTCTATCTCTATCTCTCTCTTTGTCTGTGTCTGGGGGGGGGGCTGTTCCCCGTCTCTAGATCGAATCGAAACGGAAGCCTCTGAGCATGCATATTTTAGTAGAAGTCTGTCTGTTCGAGAGGCCCAGGCCTCGGAATTGTACAACATTTGCATAAATTGCGTCGCCTCCAAGAACGTGACAAGAAATGTCTGGGAGAGTCTAGGAAATCGACATGGAAAACATTGGTCGAACGGCGGGCGTAGCAATTAAGAAATAATACGAAAAATTAAGGCAAATTTACGAAATTTAATAATTGAATGGAACATTATTGCATTTAAAAATTAAATCATTTATTGTAGATGGAAATCGATGGACATTTAGTTGCCGGGAATTGTTTTTGTTTGTGGCAGAAAGAAGGACACGTGCCAGGATTCACTTTTGACCGAGGCACGTGCTCAGGGTATACCCCGCGATTATCAGCCCTAAGCGGAGGGTGGTTCCCTCGAACAGGTCTCGAGTGTGACCTTAACATTTGCGGAGATTAAGCCTAAAATGATTGCGGCCTTAATTAAGCCAGAGAGACACAGCCGGCGCAGGGTGGACTGTGGGATCTGTATCGAAGGGCGAAAGAGGGAAACACTCAAGTTATTTATGACTCTATTTCCATATACTTAGTGCGGGGTGAGTTTTGGCCAGACAACCCCAAAGTGTCATTGGATTGTCATTGCATTAGTCATCGAGGGAAAGAGCTCTGCAAGTCGACGTTAAAGGAAACAAGTAGAAAGCTCTCAACCCCTACAATCAGATATAAGAAAATGTTATTTCTTTGTTCGTATTTTATAATAATAATGACACCAAAGAAACCAATATGCCCTTGTTCTCCACCCACCATCAGTGGAGGGGAATCAAAGAGGTAAAGCAGGAAGAAGAATTCTCAACACGAATCATAGAAAAAGCACTTGAAAGACTTTGTTTATGCCAGGAACAGGAGGAAATTCCGTTGCAGCAGAAATTTCCTCTAAACAAATACACAAGAAAGAGATGCGATGCCCTTCGTGGGGGGTGGGGGGGTGGAGATGCATTGCATCCATTGTTGTTATCGCTTGTGCAATGCCAATGCAATGCACGATTGAGCAGCGGATGAGGTGGGGCTGGAGTGAAGTAAAATAAAATCAAAGAAAGTGAAGGACAGACAGCGGCAGGGCAGAGAGCAAGGTGAGAGGAGAGTACAGCCCTGACGATGATTAATCAAAATAAAAGAAGCAAAGAGCACGATGGAGTGGGAGAGGGGAAACAGGTAGAGATGAAGAGAAAAACCAAATGCAATCAAGTGAATAAATAATCATAAAGATGGAGGACAAACAGAGCTGGGGACGGCAGCGGGATCTTAATGGGCAATGGCACTCACTCTCTTTCGGTTCTCCGCTCTTTGGTTAATTTATGCAGAGAGACAGAGAGACAGAGAGACGAGACCCGAGGAGAACTATTGACTGGCATCCGTAATGGGATGCGACAGCAACAAATATTTGCAACGGAAATGCGACATCACGCTGGAGTGAACCGAGCAGCGGGGAAGGGAGAGAGCAAACCTCTTCCTGGTTATGGTCAGTGCTTTTAGTCCGGACGGGGACAGTGGCTAATTTACCTTCCATACGTTGCCAATGTTGCAATTTTGTGCCGTCCAGCGGGAGAGCGAGCGGGAGCCACGCACTGAGAGGCACTCTCTGGCACACGCTCGATGTCCCTCTCTTCGGGTGTGTGCGTAGGTGTTTTTGCTGCAAAACTACACAAGAGAGAACGCTCAAAGCGAGTGCCGCCTCGACAAGGAGATACCCAGTGACGATGAGTCCCTGGCACTTATGCTCCACACACTCTTGGGTGCTTATACACCCTTAAACTCGTTCGCCACGGGGTATGACAGCAGCAACGAGAGCAAAAAACAACTGCTCATCCATCCACTACTCTGATGACGTCGCTGTCGCTGTCCCCGTCGCTGTCCCCGTCGCAGTCGACGCCTCTTTAGAGGGTCACTGAACTGTAAAATACAAACCGAATTTTCTGTTTACGTTTCCGTTATACAATATTTTCCTTTTACAAAACTTTTTTAAGTTTTCGTTGGCCGGATTTTGTGGCCTGCTGTCTGCCGCTGGCCCTTTTGTGCATTTGTTTTGGTGTGTTTTTTTTCGGTGGATAATTATTTACACAGTTACAAATTTCGAGTACAAGCCCAAAGCTTTTCCAGAAACCAAAGAAAAAAGCGAAAGCCCCGAGAACGAGTGTGTGGGAGGTGTTAAATGTTGAGCCATAACACCTCTGTCTATTATGATGTGGGTGTGCAGTCGTACAGTGTACCGTCCAATTGTTTGCTGAAACCTTTTGACAAACCCTTCGTTCATTAGTGATCCTCCATCAACAGCTTTTGATTTAAAGAAAGCGTGCCACAGAAATTAAGGTCACTCCGCACTTGATTACGCATTACGTATGGTTTCCGGCGAAAGAAGTACTGTAATGTAGTATTTACAGTGGATTAATAGTAATATATGTAGATAAAACTTCAAGAACTGAAGAATATTCTTCAGAAATTTCTCTGAATAATGTTACCCTGCAAATCATTGAGACATAATATTTTCCACGTAGAGACCGACCTTATCGCTAGACCAAGTCCAAGTCGGGCGATTACCTACATAAACGCCTCCACCTCTCATATTAATGTTGTGCTAGGTCAGGGCTGATGTCTGTGGTCGCTTTTATATGTTGACCATATGCTAAATGGTCGGAAAGGTAAACCTCTGTGCGATCAAGCACTGCCTTCTGTCGTGGGTAAACAAAGCAGCAACAAATTAAACCAAAAATCTTGAACCCATAAACACCGAAAAGAGAGCCAAAAGCGCCAGCCAAGAGCTAATTGAATTAACATGCCGGCGCTAATATCGTGATGTTTTTTCCACGCTCAGCTCTCTTGATTCTCTCGATTGGTTTCCATTTTATTTTTATCTCAAGCATTTTCGAGTGTTACACTTTTCTTTCGGGAGCTGCATCTTTTATTTCTCCCACTCCTTCGCCTTATTTAAAATGCACTCACCGTTGGGCTGAAGCTTAGGAGTGGTGCAGGAAGGGGGGGGAAGAAGTTCTCCTCGATGCATC